CCCCGGCTCCTCCCGCCCCCGCGTCGGTCCTCACGGAGGTGGCCGGGCCGCGGCGCCGCTCCTCGCCCAGGTCCAGCACCTCCTCCATCTCAGCGGCCGCCTGACGTCACTTCCTGGAAACCGAGCGGCCCCGAGGCGTCCCTGACGATGGCTCCGCCCTTCCGCCCTGCGGCCCCAATATTTAAAGGGTCACGGCATGATTCCTCGGCTCTCTGTGCCACCCTCCAGCTCAGATGTTTCCTAAACCTGCCTTGCTTGACTTCCGGAAGAAACGTCCAGGTATTACATCCCGCTAAGGCCTGTGGGACAGTGAAAAAACATTTGTCCTTTTTTAAAATACATTAAGTTATGGAGTGCAAAGCATCAATGCTAATAGTAGTAACTCTTCTGATCCCTCCCATTGTATACAGCTCTTTGCAATGCACAGAGGACCTTCGCAGTTATTAGCTCATGTGAAAGGCTCATGTAACAACCTTGTGTGGGAAGCAAGATAAGTTGCATTATCTCTACTGGACAGATGAGGAAACAGGCTACAAGGGGGTCAGGTGTTAATAAATGGTTTACAACGGAAAATGCAATATACATCATCTTTGTCTTCAAAAAGTTTACAGAGAGGCTGAACCAACACATCAAAAATCTTAGTAATAACTTGCAAAAGTCAAATAATCCTTCCAACCACCCATGAAGTAAGCAGCAGCAATATTCAGCGATTCAACAATTGAAGACACAGGTGCAATGAGATGGCTTGAAGAAAGTCATTTTTCTTCAGCACATATTATTGGGTGCCAGCCATTCTCCTAGGCCAGTGGAGGAAGATAGCCCCCAAATTCCCAGCGTGGGGGAGGAAGAAGCTTTCCTTTACCCTTCTGAGTTCTTTCAGCTGGCCTAATAATCAAATCGACATGAGACAGAATAACAAGAGAAATAACCAAATTTAATTACATAAGTATGGGAACCCCATGTACTTGAGAGAGTCAGAGAGCCCACATACATGGGAAGTTCAGAAACAAAAAGGGAGAAGAAGGTACATGTGACATTCTGAGCTAAGGATGAAGTAAGGCATCTTGGGGCTTCAGAGGGGACAAACATCATTGGAGGAATAGAAGAGCTGATGTTTAGTAATTAGAGGTTTGCCCTGCCCTATAGGTAGACAATGGTATAGATAAACAGTGATATATATATATCTTGATATATATACATATATATATAGCTATATATATACATTTAAATTCCAGAATTTAAATTAGAGGCCTTACTCATAATAAAAGTTATCACCAGAGTTATCCTGCGGTGTCTCCATTGTCTTCAGTTCAAAATAATTCACATGTTAAAGTGGCATATCTTGGGGAGGCCTGTTCTGAACCCCTTCACCCGCCTAGTGGGGCAAGCGAGTTTAGTTTTCATTGACTCTCCATACAAGATCCCCAAGTCAACACCACTGGCTCTGTCCCTGGCACTGGTCATCTGGGATGCCCAGATGATGGGCTCGTGGCCCTGAAAGTGAGCAATGTCTCCAGTATCACACTGGGGCTAAGTAAGGCCTAGATGGCCACTTCTTAAAAGCAAGGACTTGGAAGTGTGACTTGCAACCCTAAACAAGGTTCCAAGCACTTCTTGAAAAAATTCAGTAAATTATTCAGTTCAATCATTCATCCACACTTTTACTGGGTAGGGCTGTGACAGTGACAGCATTGCCTGGGTGTCAGAAGAGTTGAGGTCTCATCCTAGCTCGGCTGATAACTCCCTCTGTAGCCAGGCAGAGCCTCTCTGGACTTAGGTTTTTCCCTTGTAATTACTCTTAGAGATCATCCCTTAAATCTTTTACTTCCTCTGATTCTCAGTGAGAATACCCTACTAGATTTTAATCTGAGGAAACATGCATTGCCAATAATCCAAAACAGATGAAATACAGGCTCCAATGAATCCCTTGTCCCTTTTTCCTTGGCACCAGAAGAGGAAGAAGGAATTAACCTTTGGATTTTTTTCATTTCTTGTGAGCTCATAGCCATATCACCACCACCTTGTAACTAGTTTCCAAACCTTCACTCCCTCTTCTTCCCCAACTTCCTAAAAGCAGAAGTTGACCACCTCTCACTCTGGGTAGAAAGAAGCCCTAGAGTAGTGGTTTCCAAACCTTGCTGGGCACCTGACTCACCTGTGAGGTTTGTTAAAAGAACATATAACAGGGCCCCATCCCTAGAGACTGAGTTAATACAGGGGGGGTCCAGATACAACTTTAATAATTTTCCTGCCTATTTTGCAAGCATTTGCTTAAGGGCCTCAGAAAGGCCTTCTCTAATTTTAAATTGCAACATCTATTTTAAATTCCAACATTCCCCCAACTGGGCACTCCCTATCCCCCTTCCCTGTTTTATTTTCTACCATTTATTGCCTTCCCCACTATCCCACCTCCATCTCTGGAATGTAAGCTCCAGGAGGGCAAGGGTTTCGTTAGTTTCTTTATGTTCACTGCTGTATCCACAGAGCCTATAACAACAGTGCCTGGTATATAGTGAACATCAAAAATATTTTTCAAAGGCTGGCTGAATTTCAGAGGCAGTATAGCACAGTTGTCGTCATAGATTGGCAGTAGACTCCTCAGTCTAAGCGTCAGGGGTGATGCAAACAGGCTATATGACCTTAGGCAAGTTATTTTTAAGCTTTCTACACCCAGGTCTCCTCATTTGTTATGCAAATGACAATGATGCCTACACAAACCAGAGCGCCTGTGGTTAAATATCACCTCCACCACGCTTAAGCAGTGTGGCCTTTTAAATCGCTCTGTGCCTCAGTTTCCTCAACCGTAAACTGATGAACCGCTGTCTGGGGGGCTGCAGTGAACACCCCCTTTTGTTTAGTAGCCTAGGAGCCAGGAGCAGGAACCAGACCTGGCTGGCAGGGTCCTGGAAGACTGGGGGTGAGATGGAGTGGGTGGCAGGGGGCAACACTGATTCCTAAGGAAGTGATTCTATTCAAGGGCCAGTCCTAGGTGGATTCTCTCCTGGGAAAATACCCAGAAGCTTAGGTGGAGAAGAGCAAGGCAAGCGGAGAGAAAAATTCCCCTCACCCATCTGGGAAATGGGCTCCTGCCAACTGCTGACTGCGCGCTCGCTGGCGCAGATCCCCGCGGAACCCCGCGGGCCGGGGAGGGAGCCGCGCACATCTGGAGGACATTTCTGCGAGCGCGGCTGCAGAGCGGGGCTCGGGGCGGGAGAGGTGCACTTGTACGCACGTCGGACGGAGGGGGAGGCCGGCCCCAAGGGCCCCGGGCTTGTTTGCCTCCGCCCCTCTCGGAGCCCCTTCTCTCCAGCCCCCGGCCCCGGCCCCAGCCCTCCAGCCTGCGCGGCTGGGACGCGCAGAGCCTCGGTCACTGGCGCCCTCGCCTCGCCAGAGGGCACCCTCGGTCTGCCGGAAAACGCCACCATTTTCAGTGCCCCTGGAGCATCTCCAAGCTTCCGCGAGCCGCCCGACTCCAATCTTGTCAATGAAGAATCGGGGCCAGAATGGCCCTGGAGCTGAA